AATTTAGGGTTAGAATAGGACAGCGTTGAAAATTGTTAAGCTCTTCAAATTCTACTCGAAGTTTCCCAAAGATCTCAAAAATTTTACTAGTGTTTCGTTACAACCCGCGTACTGCGTACTACTTGCGACATTGACCAAACTTGCTACCAACTAGCTTGAGCTAGCAAAAGCCTTGTGGCGAATATCTATTTTTTGGCGTCAAGAATCACAAGTTGACCGACTTCAAATATTATTATTGTGCTTCTTATCATGATACTTTTTTATTTAGATGTACTCATTGCACCTTGCCTCTAAAAAACGCCTTTTTGGCGAAAATATATTTTAAGCTGCCATGTTGAGCTTTCTGATTCTGCCGCAACGTCATGAGGCAAGACAAAGCCAAGATCAGCTTCAAGTGATGACATCCGAATCAGAAATATCTTTGCAAGTGTACACAGATTCTGCCAAGTGCAAAAATATAATCTTGTCAATATTGACAAAAATCTAAAATTATCACTGTTCGTTAGCGGAGCAATATATTCGCATGAGTTGCGCATTCACTTGGTGAATAAAAGCAGACAAGAGGCTGAGAAGCTTCTATCGCATTGATGCCATATAGTCCAATTTTTCGACTTGAACATATTGTCTCTACCATACAGTAAACCATTCTTCAACGAACATTGGTGTAACCGCGCGCGCAAACGCGCTAACAATTTCTTGTCCGAGTTTTCAAACTCCTTGCTCCCGAGAGTCTGTAGCAGTGCTACGCACAATATCATCATCGTGTACGCGGCACGGATCAAATCCGTCACTGACGACGTCACCGTCGTGACATGAGCAAGCTCAGTAATCGGTCTGCATGACAAACGCATCAGCCAAAGCATTCTGCTTTCCTGGCTTATACTTCACCTCGAAATTATATTCTGCGAGGAGAGCCACCTGGTCATCCTTTGCGAGAGGTGAGGCGACTGAGCTGCAGTGCGTAGTAACGCATGATTTGTATAGAAACATAAAAGGTTTGAAGCCGAGCAGGAACACCCTGAACTTGACAAGTGCATACTTCCTCGCAAGTAATTCTTTGTCGTGAACTTTTTTTTCTCTGCAGCCTTGAGCTGGCGAAATATAAACGCGATCACCCGATTTCGCCCCTCGGCGTCTGCTTGCAGCAGTGCACAGCCGATAAAAAGTCCGAAGCGTCACAGTCGACACTGAATGGACGATCGGGGTCTGGCAGCGCCAGTATTGGTGTATGAAGGAGGATGTCTTTGGCCCGTCAAAAATCGTCAGATGCTCGGTGTCCCAACCCAATTCCGCATTCCTCTTAAGGAAATTCGACAATGGCCGTATCATTTCTGCGTAGTTCCCGCTGTAATTGTGCATGTAGTTGGTGAGGCCAAGACACTTGCGCAAGTCCTTTTGGCTCTTTGGAACCGGCCAGTTTACAATGGCCGTGACGTTAGCGGGATACGCTCGAAGGCCACGGTTCCCAATGAAGCACCCTAAATGGGAGTTCTTCGGCGCCGGAGATGAATTTATCGGCATTCGCATATAGCTTTTCGTGCGCATGGACTCGGGCATTGCTCTCAAATGGACGTTGTGATTTCCCCATCTGTCCTCTCATGCCACGCACGACTGTGGACGAAGAATGTCGTCATAGTATGTTGGTGCATATGCCCGGTGGGGCTTAAACAATTGCGTCACAAGACGATTGACTGTTGCTGTTTTATTCGACAGCCCTTAAGGCA